CTGTGTGGAGATGGGTGCTTGAAATTAACACTTATTTCAAAGAAAATAATACAAAAGCAAATTATTTGTTATTATTTTTATTTTTTTAACTTTTGCTTGTACATTTAGTTCTGAATAGATTTATTAATTTGTGTAGGTAGGTGTGTGCATGTGTCGGGGGGTTGTTGCTGGTGACATTTGGGGACAATTTTAAGACAAAATGCCTACATTTGGGGACAACTGGTGCATTTGGGGACAAAAGTCAAGTCCCCATTTGGTTTAAATACCATTGGTGGGTTGGGGGTTGGGTTTAGGACCAAGGTGTGAATTGAGGTTAGTTTAGTTTTAGGGTCAGGTAGGACCATTGAGGTTAGCCTTAGGGTTTGTGGTCAGGGTTAGGCTGTAGAAATGTAATGGAAGTCAATTGGATAGCTGTGCAAACGTGTGTGTTTTTGTGTGCTTACAAAAGCTAAATCTGTGTATTTTTATTTTATTTTCRGTATTTCCCTTTGACTAACTGTTGTTCAGCTAAAATAAGAACATATTGTAAAATGTTGTGCCCTGACAGACAGTCGCCAAAGATACAAGCCCGTCCATGATTAAACACTTAACTGGTTTTGTTTTCTTTTTTCTGTTTCTTTCTGAATYTTTTTAAACTCCAAATGTAGCACTTTTATTAAAATTATTCCTGGAAAGCCTTTCTCTTTCCTCAATAATTACGCCTTTGTGTTTCTGTTAACATAATATGCACTGGTTTTGAAAGAAGAAATAAGTGCAAAACTGCAAGCAAACTAAACTGCTTGTAAAACATGACGCAGCAGATGTTGTTTCATGGAGGACAAACTGGATCAAGCAGCAGTTTAAAGCTGTCTTGTAGTTTTCCTGTACAGAGAAACCCATTCATCATGTTGCCACTCTTTGATGAGAGAAACCACCAGTGAAGATATGATGAGTCTGGAGCACTGCCTAAAACTTGCAATTTCAAATAAGGTCTGGATGTGGTTATTGATTAGGGAATTAACATGGTAAAGAGTGTCTGAGACGAGGGAAGTGTATAAGACAGAATATGTGTTGAGACGTGTCCCCCTCTGTCTCCCCTCAGGCTCATCATTTCCTGCTGTCTAATCATATTGTACTGGATTACAATAGCCATAAATATTTGATCACAGTCAGCGCTCCAGCTCCAGAAATGAGAGTCCTTTAAATTCCAGAATAACTACATTATAAAAGTGAGATGTTGAGAAGAGGAAACTGCATACATGATGTATTTTCCCCTAAACACTATAAAAAGCCCTAATATAAAATCTAAACAAACAAACCAAAAAGCAGCATTGTTTTTATAAAAAAAAAACTTATAGAGATTTTGTTTTAGTTCTCATTAAGTTTGAGAATTGAGATGTTGTAGACACTTAGCATACATGTCAACACTTTTGGATGTTTARCTGTATAATAAGCCTCAAAAATGCCTGTAATTGATGAGAACAAAGGCTTGTTAACCCATATCATCCGTGGAAGGGCCGGTCCGAAGACCATGGTGGTGGTGAAAGAGAAGTGAACTCTGATGAACTGAATTTGGATGATAATAACTGGTTTTGGACTCTGGAGGTCTCTGATTGGTTCCAGCATGGAGTATTATCCTGAAACGTCACCGGCTTCTCTGCATCCCACCCAGTACCATGTTTTTGATCCCCAGCCCCCCTCCTTAGCTGTCTTGCACTGAGCGAGTGTTTTTTTTTTTAGCGTATGCTTCTGTGTTTATGTGTAAACATAGGATCAGAACAACTTTTTTAACTCACCACTCCTATTGTGTGTATTTCTAAACTGCAAAGGTAACGCGYCCAGGTTGCGCAAGACCTGTTCATCCGTTTCCCCAATGTTTGTTATGTGTCTTTCTCCTGAAACGGGTGTTCTAAACTGCAACATTTCATTGTAATGCAAATTATAATYACAATAAAGGCAATTCTTCTGATTCTAATTTCTGGACTGTCATGTAAAATGAATTTGAAAATGAGCATTTGAAAAAATCCATAAAATTTGAAAAAAATCAGTGCAATTGCTCTATACATCCATATAGCTAAAAACGAAGAACAYTCAGTACAACTTGACATGTAGCCTATGTTATTTTTTTCTCCCTATCCCTCGCCACATACCACCACCTTCTGCATTTTCAACTCCACTCATGTGAGGCTTTTGGGGCACAGGTGCGATACAAGGATTGACATTTTTACATGTCCATTTGCCWTAACCACCTGGGCCCCAATTTCTCTGTACACCATAGATATTCACTTATATCCTCATGACATTCACATATAGGAACTTGGGGGTGAGCACTCTTATGGCATGCAAGGGGTGAGGTGGAATCACACTCGCCATTGATGCCTGTGCCCACTCCCAATGGTTGCTTGTAGACATTTAGGGTTTTGAGTTAGAGATGGGGTGGAGGGGAAACTGGCACTATGCTGGCCTCTGCCCCATATCCTTCCCCCATTTTAATTTCACTATAGAACAATACACATCAACAGCACATCTGAGGGTGGGGGTGTGTATGGGGGTGTGTTTTTTTTTCACTCCCCCGTTCCCTGATTGCCATTTGGGGATGGGGTCCAGAGGATGGGCGGAGTGTCTGGTGGGGACCTGGGCTGGGCTGCTGGAGGGCTTGAGGCCTGGGGGGGATGCCGGGGGCGGGGCTGGTGCTCCGGCTTCCCTGGAGCACCAGCCCCTTGGATTCCTGACATACGACTTCTGGTTGCCGTGGTTGGCCCGCTGTTCGGGGTGGCTGCCAGACCCTGGCGGGTGGTCGGCTGGGGATGTACACTTGGCTGTTATTGGTGTGTGGGGGTGGTCAGGGGTATGGCTTTGCTGCGGCGGGGGGCTGACCGGTCGGCTTGGTGTGGTCCGAGCCGGGCCTTGGCTGTCTGCTCCTCTTCACCCCAGAATGAATGGGTCTACCTCCTGGGTTCGGATATGGGCTGCCCTCTGCAGGGGGTGGTGCATGTCCTGGACCTGGGGCTATAAAGTGTGTATGGGGAGTGTGAGTGGATTATGGRGTCCATCTTGTGTGTCTTTGAATGAGTGGGTGTGAGGATGAGGGTGGGATCYTGTGATTGTGTCTGTGTATGATTGGATATTTTTCAGGCTGGAACTTGGSCTGCCCCCTCGTCTGGTTCATCTGGGGCCTCACTGCCGCTCTGCCCTCTGGTGGGTTGTGCCGTTGCCTGCTGGTGCACTGGTGGTTCTCGGTGTCTGGGGCTGGGTGCTTGGGAATGGGCCGGTTCAGCCTGGTGACTGTCTGGTGGGGCTTGGGTCCTCTGGCCCTATCAGGTCTAGGCCTGGGGGTGGCCGGGACTCAGTGTCCATGCCCTGCTCTGGCYCAATGGGTGTCAGCGTGGCCTGTGAGCTCGTCACTGCTGGCCCCAGGGGATTACTGCGTGGGGTCGCTGGTGGTGGTGGTGGTGGGGGGGTTCTCTCCTGGTTCTCTCCTATGGTCCGCTCTGGGGGGTGGATGGGCTGTTCTTTCTGTGCTGGTGCCCCTGGGGGTTCCACGCTTGGGGTCCCTCTCGGGGTCTTTGGCTCTGGTTTCCCTTTTTTCTGCTTTGAGTCTTGGGGGTCAGGTTTGTGGGTCTCTGCAGTCACTATTAAATATTGCATTGGAAAAATTTTACATGCATGTTCACAACCGCACACAAACAGGTGTTCAGATCCTGGGGGTTTCTGACGATCACTGAATCACATACGTGTGTGTGTGTGTGTGTGTGTGTGTGTGTGTGTGTGTGTGTGTGTGTGTGTGTGTGTG